TCTGGCTATAATGTGTCTTGGAGAAGATCTTCTTGGGTTGATTCTATTTGGGGTCCTTTGTATTTCTTGGGACTGGATCTTTGAGTGCCTCTCTAGGTTTGGAAAGTTTTCTTGTAGGATTCCATGGAATAGATTATCAATGCCCTTCTGAGTCTCTTTGCCTTCTGGGATGCCTATTATCTGGATGTTTGGACGTTTGATGGTATCTAGTATTTCTTGTATGTTATTCTCAAATTTTGGGGCCATTTTCTCAGTCTTCATGGTGGATTTTTCTAGGCCAGCAATTTTCTCTTCTACATCTGAGATTCTATTTTCTGTATGATGTAGTCTGCTTTTAATACTTTCAAGGGAGATTTTGACTTCCTGTATTATAGCCTTCATCTCTAACAGTTCCATCTGATTCTTTTGTAGAGTGTGTAATTCCTCTTTTAGATCTTGCATGAATTTCCTCACCTCCTGGAACTCATTAGCTCCTTTCTCTTGCCTCTTCTGCAGTTCATTGTCTCTCTCCTCCTCTTCCATCTCTGTTAGCTTCACCATTATGAATATTCTAAATTCTTTATCAGACATTTTCCATGATTTCCTTTGAACTATCTGTGGATGAAGAGGAGTTATTCTTTCCCTTGGAGGAGAGGTATTTTCTTGCTTTCCCATATTTCTTGTGGCCCTGCAGTGATTTCTAGTCATCTGATGGACGGTGTGTTTCTTCCCAAACTTGAAGTTCAATCTGAGCATGGAGGAGCGTGCAGAAAAGGAAACAGAGAGAAACAACAGCCACAAAAAAACCCCCAAGAAGCTGAGAAAAAGAAAAGAAAAAACAGAGAAAAACGAAAAAGAAATTAATATTTAAAATAAATTTAAAAGATAGAAAAATTAGAAAACCATGTGCTGTGCAAAATGGCTAGTTCTCAGGAGCCATGAAGGTGTCTTCAAGAAGGCCTGTTCCCTTGCCTCTCCTGGGTTGGGAGGGGGAGAGAGAATTATTAACAAGATAAAGGGAAAGGAGGGGCCAGAAAGCCCAGAAAATGCCTTCTCTTAAAACATTTTATAAAGGAAAAATTACAAAAAAAAAAAAAAAAAAAAAGAGGTAGAGAGAGACAAAGACAGATACAGAGACAGGAGGCTTGAGAGGGGTCTTCCTTCCAAGCGAGTTTGTGTGCTGGAGGCTGAATTATCAATAGAAAATCTTCATTTCTCTGTTTCCCCTAAAATGACTAGTTCTCAGGAGCCATGAAGGTTCATGTTCATCTACTTTCTATCCAATGCTAAGGTCTTGTTTTTATGCCTAAGTAGTATTTCATAGAGTATATGCGCCACACTTTATTTATTTATAATTGGACATTAGATCTTTTATCTTTAATATCGTTTAGTAATTATCCTTTAATCATTATACATTATATTCATGTATGGAAAAAATATCACCATCACAACATGTACAGTTATTATATGTTAACTAAAAAGAGAATGAAAAAAGGAAAGAGGTTAAAAAAAAAAATTCAGTGGGACACTGACTTCATTTCCTAATTCTTGCTTCACAGTCTCCAGGGTCCCAAACCCCAGCCTCCGTCTTCTCCTTATAACCAACCCTTTGCCAAGTGAAAATAAACCTATGTGTTATCCCAAGAATAGGGACTAATATGACTGCTCCCTTTCTACTCTGCTATTTCTTATGGTCACTTTTTAACCTAGAAACTGGGACTGTTTCCCTGTTGGTTGGGGCCCACTTATAAGACCAGTGGGGTGGGGTCTGCCCATGTCCCAGTGGGCACCCACTCTGGAGACCAGTGGGGCGGGGTCTGCCGTGTCACAGTGGGCATTCAGTCACTTGATGATGCGGGGGGGTGCAGTGACATGAATGCTGGAGGAGTTTTGTGCACTTGGCCAGTTGCTCATTTGGACTCATTTCGATCAGATGAGGATCTAGTAGTGCCCCTGGCAACGATGACAAGAAAGCTACCTCTAATTATCCTTCTCAAACCCCAGCCACCTCCTCTTTTTCTTCCTTCCCATACTTCTCACCTCACCCAGTTTCCTGTCATTCCTCCCCAATACGGCAGCCCTCTGACCAGTCCCCAGT